TATCCATTAGAACTTCATACTGATGCTAGTAGTCAAGGCTTTGGTGCGGTATTACTCCAATTGTCTGATGATGGTACTTATCACCCAATCCATATATGAGTAAGAAGACTTCACCGCAGCAAGAGAAACTCCATAGTTACGAATTAGAAAGCCATTGCAGTTAATAGAAGCTCTTGAAGAAGTTTAGAAACTATTCGTTAGGCTCTGAATTCAAAATTATAACTGATTGTAGTGTTTTCGAAAACTTTAGATAAAAATGATTTTTAACTCCTAAAATTGCAAGATGGGCAATGTTTATTGAAGAATTTGATTATAAATTGTACATCGCTCAGGAAGCCAATGAAACATGCTGATGCTTTAAGTAGAAATGTTTAATTTTAACATCATACACATCCGATGTAACTGAGAAGATTCGGTTAGTACAACAACAGAATGAAGATGAACTGTGAAACTGATCAAGAATTTAGTTGAGAAGGGAGAGAAAATGGATTCTTCGTGAGAAATGACATTTTGTACAATCTGAAAATGGTAAAGATCTTCTAGTAGTGCCAGAATCCCTACAGAATGAAATCATACAGAAGGTACATAAAAAGTCACTTTGCTGTAGATAAACGTGAATGCCGTAGAGCAAGAATTCTGTATTCCAGACTGAATGTAAGTTGAAAAAGTAAGTGCTAACTGTATATAATGTATAATGTACAACAAGAAGCAAAGAAAATCAGAAGGATTTCTTCATTCTGTATCGAAAGAAAACGTTCCCTTGAGTACGTATCATATCGACTTTATTGGACCTTCTTCCATCAACGAACAAGAGATACCAACACATTCTAACTGTTGTCGACGCTTTAAGAAATTTACTGGTTCTATCCAGTGAAATCACCAACTACGCAAGAAGTTAGTTATTTCAAAATTGAAGCAAACAACAGACGTATTTGGAAATCAGCCAGAATCATTTCATATCGAGTAGTGTGCCCTACATCGAAAAGAATTTTCAGCTTATTGTACTGAAGAAGGTATAGAACATGTCAAAAATTACTACCGGTATTCCAATAGGTAACGGACAATTGAGCGAATTCATAGAATTTTGATTCCGGTTTTGTCAAAATTATCACATGAAGATTCAACGAAATGGTTTAAGTATGTTTCAGATGTCCAGAGGATAATCAACAGTACAACTACGAGAAGTACAAATATTCACCGTTGAGCTTCTCATAGGCACGAAAATGAAGACAAAGAAGATTTGAGAATAGTGAGATATTGAATGAAGAATATCTAAAACAATTGATACAAGAACGTGATGAAATGAGAGAAAGAAAAAAACAACATTTTGAAGATTCAAGAGAATCGTTCAACAAGAAACGAATCGAATTCAACAAGAAACGTAAGAAACCGAAATATACAAGATTGGCGACTTGGTAAGCCATTCAAAGAACTCAATAGGGGATGGTTGAACTACGACCTAAAATTTCATGACCGTATAAAATCATAGCTGTAGACCAAATGACAGATATGAAGTCGAGAAAGTAGGATGCATGAAGGACCAATTTGACATCTACTGCGGCTGACCATATGAAGCCATGGTCAATTGATTTGATGTTTGTATCAGCTAAAGCCTAAGGACCTGATATCTTTTTTTTTTTTTTTTTTTTTCTTTTTTTTTTTATTATTTTGCAGGTACATGATAGTGATGTCCATTCAACAGACATCGGGACGATGTCTCTTCAGGCTGGCCGAAGCTGGGGAGTCATAAACGTCGAATGCTGAATTAGAATCAGGATTAGACGTCATCAGTATAGCACACCCAGCGCAGTAAGAATCATCCCAGACAGCGCGAGGACTTGGTTAGAGTGGGAGGGCAGAGTGAGCAGACGGCTCACACGTCTTCAAGAGTTTATGAATTAGATTGTGCTTTTGATGTTATACCTTTGGTGAAAAGTACTACATATTATGTTAATCCTGCATACCGTTAACTTCATCTTTATTATTTTTCTTATTACTTTATTTCTTTCTATTAATAAAGCATTTAAATATTACTTCGTGCTCTCATGCTGTGAATTAAGTAAAATTCTACATGTATATTGTGACTGAAATAAAATCATAATTGATTATATGTATTTCTTAGTTTCTTAAAAGAAATAATAAATGCTAAATGTATCAGGCTTTAAATGATGCACGTAGTTTACACCAATCTAAATGTGTGGCAACTTTGTAACATCTATTAAAGTGTTGGTAACTCTGAAATTCAAATTGCATGATACGTAAAAAAATCCTTGATTTAACACCTATTTTCACAATTGTTATGTATTAATCGTTTAGTTTCAAGCTCAAGTTGTTTTGATTATTATTTCAGTTTTGATCTGTAATTGAAGTTCTAATTTTTTTTTGTTGTTGTTGTTTAAATTTGGTTGTAAGTTTAAATTGTAACTTTTGTAAACTTTTTAGGGTTTATATTTATTTTAACTAACATTTATTTTAAGTTTAAACTATCTTTTCCTTCAGCCTTACTTTCCCCTAGAACTGCCAATGCCGAGTATGTAAATTTTAGTAGAACGCGCAAGGATCAAATTATCAGCGGAAGTATTTGAGTTAAATAGAAAGGAAACGAGTTCGAGATGTGCTGTTCTACTTCACGAGCGCGGGTAGTTAGCCAAAATGAAGAACCCCGCGTTCGGCCTGTGTGCTTGCCTCGGAGAATTGTTAATCGTTCACGTGATATTCAAAGTTGCTGATTAGAAGCGGTATTGTAAACGCGGTGAGGTTAGTGACGTTTAGAGAGCCTCGTAGTTAGAGTCTGTTATTTTTCTTTCAGGTTCTTATTTTTTTTTACCGCGGGTCGGCGTAGTTTGTAGCGTTCAGAGTAATTGTTAATTTCTTAAGTTGATAAAAAGGGTCTTAACCCTTAGCAGACTCTGTCTATTTTCCAGTTTCAACAGTCACCTCTTGGTTTGGGCAGGTTGGAGCGCGCAACTCTACAACTTTAAATTTGGTTAGGTTGCTTTAAGCGTTTCTTGGTTGTGAGTTGTTTAATTTTAATTTGAGTTTAGGGATTAAGATTTGGTCTTTGTAACTTGTTGTTTTGACCCTTCGTTTGTTTAAACTTTTACTCTAATTGTTTTAAAGCCTTGTGTTGCACTTTGGTATGTTAATTTTTTTCTTTACCTTAAGTATTTAATTTGTATCCCTCTTTTTTAAGTTAAACGAATACAATTTTCGATGGCGGGTAGGATACATTTTTTTGTATTTGTATTTCAATTTGGATAATATGTGTGTATACTTTAATTGTGGCTAAGGAAACAATTATTATAGTACTGATATTTTTATTATGAATTATAATGTTGTGTAATTAGTAGCTTCATGTTTTTAATTTCCAAAAGTCATTTTGTATTAACTTGGTTCAGAGGTTTTCAGCCTTTGCCCTCGGCTTGGATTTCTTTCTTGGTAACTCTTATCAGCAGTTTTGCTGCACCCCAAAATTCCTTCTCCCAAGCGACACACCACATGTGGGAGGGGGCGAAGTTGGATGGATATACCATATGTTGTTTCACGAAAAGAGGACCCTGTTTTGCTGGACAAGCAAGCATGGAAGATGTTCTACAGCATACTTATAGTGGGGGAAAATATTCGTTGAGTTAAAAGATCGGCATTATCGACTGGGACCTTCGAGCGAGGCTAGTTTCTTCCCCCCTTGTTTTTCGTCTGCAGATCTGGTGACACATTGGTGTGACCTTGGAAGTTAAATGATGGAATAGCGAGAAACGGCTCGTCTGGTAGTCGGGAAACCCCTTCCCGTGAAGATTCCTAGCGTTGGGTTGCTGTTTTTGGCTTTGTTGGTTTGCTGATCAACATCTACACCAAGTTTTCAAAAAACGCGCCAGCTATTAAAGTGGCTGCTCAGTGTTTTCGGGAAGAGAGGAGGAATGGACTGACGTTGACACTTTTTTTTCTGAGGCTTGACGCAGCTGCAGCGACAAGATGAGACCTTCTTCTATCTTCTGCCTGGCAGACCCCTGAGAGTTTCGGGAAAAAATACATCATACTCCATATGCTAAGCTGAGAAGGGAAGATGAAGTGATCCCCTCAGAAATAGTCTATAGAGGATTAACCACATCGAACTTTCCTGACGGAATTGCTGTTTGAGCGGAAGATCGGAGCAAGACCTCGTCGTTGTTGTTATCATGGCTTGATTTTTTTTGTTACGCTAACTTCTATCTTTTCCTTCCAACAGATATGCCAAAATGTCTGTAAAGATGCCTAAGTCCTACTACTTCTTAAGTCTCAAGATTTTTGTGTGATTTCCTTTATGGGGGGCCCCACCAACCCTGTTTGTTTTTTAAAGGTATATTTATATTTTGTGTTCTTCAGCTATGCTCAATATCCAGGCACCACGCTCAATATCCAGCCTCCACGTAATAATTGTAACGTAAATAGTGAGTGTCATGACTCTCTTCAGAATTGTAACTTAATATTTTTCCACCAAAAATAAACGTTAGTTTGATTTTATTTATCCTGTTGTAATTATTGTATTTATTTCCTTACACTGGACCTTAGACATAGAATGGGTTTTGGTTTTTCACAACGCAAACTTCCTGAAATTTAGAATTGCTTACATATTTTGTTTTTATGTTACACTATGATAACTACTCTTATACAGTTTTGTGATTGATACAATATTGGTTGAAATGTTCTGTAATGTTACCTATACACCTACAGTCACCTACCTCATAATCTAGTATGAACTTTGAAATTAGTTATTTCACAGTAATGATGTTCAGTAGTAAATATTACGTATGAATTTTCTATTATGCAAATAATATTATAACACAATAAAAGACAGCAAACATCATGTGTATTCCTTTGATTGCATCTTTCTCTTATGCCATAGAAATAGTAAAAAAAAGAGTAAGATTTATCAAGATGCTGATAAAACACAATACAAATTTAGAATAACGCAATATTCCTCTGCAATCCCAGACTATTATCTTGTTTTAAAAGCGAAGGGCATCGAACACTTTATCCGTTGAATATATACTCGCGTCTACAATTGTTTTAGAAACGCATTGCAAAATTTAAAAATTGTAATGGGTCGTATTATTTTCGAAATATTCCTTTGTGGGTTTCTTTTCATTGTAATTACCGCACGAGAGAACGACTCAAATACCACATCACTAATTGGCAATGTCTTTAACATCTTCAGGAGAAGCGGGAATTGGTCTCAATCTTTGGAAAATTCAGATGCGAATTCAACCATAAAACCCGATGGTATGTTAACATCTACTAATACTTTTTACAGAAAAATATCTTAAAAAACTAACTTCTTTTTTCTTTATCATTTCTTGAAATTTAAGGATTGTCTAGTGGCAGCTTCTGAACTCAGGTTGTTCTACTCCAATTTTAAACACAGCTAACGATCTAATAGCATGAATGTTTTCATATTCTTCGTGTGTAACGAAAATATGAACCAGATTGCATTATAAAGTGATCTCTTCCCTCAGATGTATAACTTTAATTAACTTCGTGATAACCAAGTAAATTATTTCCAGATCTTGATATTTTGGAAACCTGAGAATTTAAACATTTATAGAATAAAATTCTTTATAAATTAGCAAAAATATCAGATTGTATTACTGCAGTGTATTTTATTACGACAAAATACAATATAGTAGTTATTTATAGTAAGTGTTTTATTCCATAGAAAACTTTGTAAGGCATATTTTAATTTTATAACAGTTATATAAATTGTTATATATATATATATATATTATATATACAAAATAGAAAATGTAAGAATATCTAAAGCTAAATAAAATTAATTCCCAGCTAAAAAGGATTACCGCCGTATACTAGCAAGCACGTACTAAGTACGGCCGTAGAATAGCAACCTTTAACTAATAGCAACGCCGTGACCGAAAGGCAGAACACGCTCTCCTAATGAAGTAATAATATTCAGCTTAAATGCTTGTTTCTACCTTATTTGCATAAATCTTAAAACTCATCCTGGGACTGCAAAAGTGCAATTGAACGAGATAGGATAAAATGATTAGATAAGATAAGAAAGCCTGGACAGGAGATAAGCTAATGGCGCCATCTGTTGATGAAACCAGAACTAAAACATAATTTCTTTAGTTCTGGTTTCATCAACAGATGGCGCCACTAGCTTATCTCCTATCCACGCTTTCTTACCTTATCTAATTATTTTATTCTATCTCGTTCATTTGCGCTTTTGCAGCTGAAGATGGTGGTTCGGTAAAACCATCGAAACTGGTCCTGTGAAAATTTTAAAACGCTGATTTTTGTTGTTTGACTTCTGAATTAATATTTGTTCGGCGTGTTATTGTGTTTTAATTAGTCATTTCATAGGTTATCTTTGATAAGACTGATGATGCAAGTAGACATCCAAATAATAAAAACTCAATACCTAAGAATAAAACAAAAGTAAAAAATAAACGCAAACTCACAATTTGACCAAACAGTCAAATATTTAAGTCAAAAATTGTTTTCCGTATGATTGTAGGAATTGTAATTAATATTAGGAAAGAGAAAGAAATTAACTAAATTTTTGTTAAATTCACGGGAAATGTACACACTTTCATATGGAAGAATTTATTATTTATTTACTTATTAGTGGTAACTACCATAGTTGTATTCGAAAATTTTCAGAATGAGCCAATCTCCAACAATCATTTTTGCTTATTTCTTTAGCTTTAACCACAATTTTGCCAATCTTGTATGCGCACCTTTTGTTTTCTTTTTAAGTTTTAAGTTTTTTCTGCACAAAAACCGTGATTTATTTTGCTTTAAAAATTTTTAAATATGATGTTGTTGCATTGACAAGAAATGAAAGAAATTTCGATAAAACTTCTGCAAGAATATAGTATTTTTCACACAAAATAGCATAAAGTAAAAAGATATGCTTTTTTCTTCACCCCTAAAAGTATGACCGTGAAATTTTTAGTAGAATAAAATGTAATCAAACCATTCGTATGTAATAGTTTATCGATTGATTTCTGAAAAAAAAATTTTAACAAAAAGCAAATTAAATTTCTTTGTATGTAATAATAGTTATGTAATGAACAATCGTTTGAAATTTAAAATTATTATTATTTCTTTCTCCGACGTTTTTGCATTAATAGGTAAATACTCTATACTGAAATGATATAAGTACTGACACATTTGACACATTTACAAATTTTACTATTCCTAATCAATTCTAGACCCATGCAGCTCGGGACCTTGTCAGAACGATGGTGAATGCAATCTACACATGGGGACTTATAAATGCGAGTGCAAGACCGGGTATTTTGGAAAGAATTGCGAAATGAGTAAGTGATAAATAAGTTATTTTTAAGCAAAAATTAGTCTGTATTTGTGCAAAGAAAGAACATGATATTCTTCCAATCTTCACGAAATTTGATATATACAGCGTAAAGGACAAAAAGGACTTATATAACATGCCGAATGGCAATTATTAGGTGATCGAACAACAGTAATCAGCAATAATCTTTAAAACGTTGGAGTAGTAGTAGCTAAAATTATTAGAAAACATGTTCCGTTGACGAACTAGAATTCTTAGAGGCGTTTCAAATTCATAAAAATCTTTCAGTTCCAGTTAATCATCCAAACTTCAATCCGAATTAAACTTCAACTTTTAAAGAAATTACTTCATAGTTAGCTTGTTTCACCATCAACAAAATGGCGCCAGCAGCTATGTTTTCGTTCTTTGTTGGAAATTTCTCGAATTTTCCAATCTGTTGGGTTTGCTGGTATTACGTGAGCACAAGGTCGATTTTTGTCATTTTCACTCTAGCAGCTGGAGAAGAAGGTTCTGAAGTCAAATCTTCGAAACTAGTACTGCGAATTCTTAAAAATTACCTCTGGTTTTTGGTGTTTGATTTTCTAATAATAATAAAAAAACTTGTTCCGTATTCAACTGGGATTCTCAACCTTTTCTGCTCCATGCACCCCTGTCATCATTGCTAAACGATCATGACACGAAAAATATTTACTTTTTATTGTGTTAGGAAAAAATATAGAACCTCTTAGTAAGTACCACAACTTGAATATAAGTTGTTTCTATATTTATGAAATAAAACTAAATATTTAAAAGGTAAGTAAAAGGCAAACAACATTCCCTGGAACTATGAAATTCTCTTCTGTTTGAGAATCTCTGATGTACACCATTAAAGTTACATATTCAGATAAACTACTGCAAAAGATAAAAAGTCAACATATTACTATGGAGTGATTTACTGGCTCAAGCCCTTTTGAAAACTGGCATAGAATAATGCATGCAATTCAGAAGTAGTGCTCTGAATTATAGTGTATTAGATATGTTAAATCAATTACGTAACTCATTCATTTCCTTTGGATGAGATTGGCCCTTCCACTGTGAACATAATGACGCAGAAACACGCTTTCTAGTACCAAATGTATTTCTCAATAAAACTGTACAGTCTAGATATAACGCAACTGTAAATATTCAATATATGACCGCAGTTTTACAGAACGTTTAAAATACACAAACACTAAATCTTACGCCTTTAACCGTTTTTTTTCTGGATTCAACTTCAAAGTGAATGATCTAGTTGTTTTGGTCATCGTACAGATGAAGAAGTTTCGATTGTAAAGTTTGTGGTTTAAGGCATAAAAATCATGAAATAATTTCAGACCTATTCAATAGGATTAAAACCGTAGCCAATCAGGAAAATTAAGGTTGGGCATGCGTAAATGTGTAGTTTATTCAGGAAAACCTTAACTGGAAATCATTTCGTGCATACTTTGCTGTCATTCATCGATTCTTAAACGAAGTTGGAGAGGCCGAAGAGTAAAGTCTCTGAATATTGGTGGTTCATTCCGGGGTTAAAATCCCGGCGAAGAGGTTGGCTGCATGGATATTTTCGTGGTTTTCCCCTCTCGTAACGTATATGCAAGCCAGTTTCCCTCAGAAACTCATCTACAGACACATCCCCTTACTTAGGCAGATTGCCCTCGAATGTATTCATATAATCAAATAAACCAAACCAAACCTTATCAATTTGGCATAAAGTTCCAAAACTGGAACTTGTAAGTAAAATCCGTAAAAAATTCTTTGTGACGTAGCAAGGTCTGTTTGCCTTACAAAGAACCCCGCTTATATCCCTTATGACCGAAAAACCAACGTATGAACGTAGCCTAAAACCCTCCGGTACAGTTCTGAGATCTTTTACCCCAAATGAGTGGTTAAAATATAGCTTCGGTGAACTAAAGTTTATTTAGCTGTTAGATTATGCAAAAATTAATTGAACACAGTAGTGAGTATGAAATTCTAAATGAATGCCAATATGCTGTTTAGGAAGTTTATTAAATTTCTACAGCAAAATTGAGGAAAGACAAGGAAAAGTATGGCATACAACGTTCCGTCGACTTAACGATACTACGCGGCCAATCCAACTGCAAAACCAAGCCCAGGGGTTCAATCTCTGTCCTCACCCCTTGGAGAGGATTGACGCCATCGTCATAAGCCGACACTGGTCGTTACAATTTGCCACCTGCCAATCATACGGGTTGCCCGTCGCTAAAGTACATTACACAGCAAACCTGGGACACCACTCCTGGCTAGTAGAATCTTAAGTTCTAGGACTTAAGATTCACAGGCCGACCGATAAGCCATCTTTCTGGGGCCTTCAGAAGCACCAGGTTCGTTGCTTGTATACCTCCGTGGCTGAGACAGCCTAGATACAGATCCTAGGCAGTAGCTGCGCAGAATTCTCTACGTCGAAACGCGGGAGGGAATTGAGGTAAGTGCATTGTTAACCACCTTTAATTAAAAAAATGCACAGTATTCATTAATTAAAAGTATTATTCTTTGTTTTAACGACTATTCACTTCACATTAATCCTTAAATAAGAACATTAGCAAAGATTATTGCAGATTTTTTAGGAAATATTTCATGCATAGTTTCTCTACTTAGGTGTTCATATAGATGTGTCTCCATTGGTAACACCAGCCAGCATTTCATAAGTTATGAACAATAAGCACGCAAGTGATTTCCAAAAAAGCGACATTTCGCCATACACTATAAATAGTCCTTGGATTAGCAAATCTATCATCGAAAGAAAACAAAAACAGTAAACGAAAATACTAAAATCAAAACAAAATAATGCCTAGCAATTGGAGAAAAATCACTTCAAATCGGAAGTATTTTTTCCACAAACGAGAAAATACATAAAATTTTCTATAATAATGATATAGATTTCGTGTGATCTATTTTTATTCCATAAAAGATTTTCTGTTAAAACCTAAGATAGTGCTGGCATATATTATTTTGCTACATTCAGTTATTTCGCTGATTTTATTTATTCTGTAATTTAATAATTTTGTTTAAAAGTTAAAAAGAGTTATGCTTCACAATAAAGAGTGTTTATGCATTGCTCTTTAATCTATATATTTTTAAATAAATGTCCATTTTAATTTACAGAATGTGTTTGTAAGAGAGGATATTGTATTCTATCTGAATATGAGGAGACGCTATGTAAGTGCCCACCCGAATATGGAAATTATTCACCATCAGAATGCATAGGTATGTATAAATTACTGATATTTGGAAATTTATATACAGAAGATCTGTAAAGCTTTCAATAATTTATTTTAGTATTTTGCTTTCATTTTAATAAGGTGAAGCAAAATTTAAATTGTGGAAACATGGATAGTATTCTAACCAGTAAAATTTGAGCATATACTTCTTGTACTTTAAATTCCAAAAAGAGAATGCTTAGGTTAAAATAACATGCCGAATAACGAATATTACAGTAGTTAAACAAAAGGAACCAGCGTAAAGTTTCTAAAACTTGCAGGATTAGTTTCGATGGTTTAAAAACAGAAACAACTTCTTCATCTGCCTAAGTTCTAATGAACGAAATAAAATGTGTTCATAAGATAAGAATAATTGGAAAGAGGGGAAGCTTCTGGCGCCTTCTATTGATGAAAGCAGAACACTAAAACATAGTTTCCTTAAAAGCTGAGGGTAAAGATGGATTGGAATTAGGGTCATTAACTTGAACTGAAATTCATTTTGAATGTGAAAAGCCTCTAGAAAATATAACTCACCAAAGGAAAATGTATTTTTTGAATAATGTTGGCCGCAGCAAAATGGTGAACGGTATTATCACCAAAAGTGATGGTCAACAGAGGATTCCTGTGTTTCCTTTTTCCTAACGTATGCCTCATGTTCTTTAAAGTGAAATTTTAAGGCTATCTTAGTTTGATCAATGTGCATTAAACCACATTGGCAAGGAATCCTGTAAATAACACAGGAATTCATATCCGGAATAGGATCGTTTCTCGACATTTTTTCGACACATATCATATCCAATTTCAGTACAACTGTTTACCTTAAACCTTCATCCGTTAGCCTTCCATCATGTTTCAAACCATATGATTCGACTAGACAGAAATTTGCTTCATTATAGCGCTCTGTTTTCCGTGCATTTGCTCCTCCAGTTTGGCTCTTGATCAAGAACTGCATTGCTTAAAAGCAGTTGCTATGGACAGAGGTTTTTATCCAACACTAATAACTAAGCCGTTGTAAAATTCTCATCTCAACACATCGAAAGGAAGTCTTTCATTTTAGGAGATTATAAGAGTTCTTTCTGTCAAATTCCTTTCTTTACATAGATTAGCCATAAAATGCATGTATTTTACACAAATTTAACTTTCAGGTTTTTTTCGTCTATCACTAAAACTTCCATTTCCACTTAAGAAACATTTTTCCGGATATGAATTCTTGGAGTATTTACAGGATTCCTTGGAAATTCGGTTTAATTTACATTGGTAAAACTAAGAGAGTATTAACATTTCGCGTTAAAGAACATAAGACGTAAGTCGCGAAAAAGAAAACAGAGAAATCCTCTATCGCCCAGCACTGTTGGTCAGAAAATCCCACTTTTCATTCTTCCGCAGCCAAAATTATTCAAAAACATCTTCAATTTGTGAATTAGATTTTCTACTTATTTTCTTCTTATTTTTCTTATTAAGTTATTTCTTATAATTTCTTCTTATTTTTCTTATTCTTCTTATTAAGTTTTATTTATAAGGAAAATTATAATAATGGAAGAATTCAAAAGCAAGAAAAACTCCTATATTCGATACTGCGGTGACCACACTTCTCCCATACTGATAAAAGGCTGGCCTTGTTTAATCGTTGCAGTAAAAACTCACACATTCAGTACATTCCAGTTACATTCCCTGTTAAGGAGAACACGCTCACTTGAATTATGACATATTTTCGAATTAAATATGTTTTACTTCAGTATATATAATTGCTATTACTAGGTAATCTTACTCGTTTTCTCTAATAAAGCTATGCCAGTTTGAAATGTGTAGAAATAGCATATATTACCGTATATACCCGCGTATAAGTCGACCCCCCACTTCGACATAAAAAATTCGTAGAAAATAAGAAACCCGCGTATAAGTCGACCCCCCTCCACTTCCGAAATCGATCGAGAAACTTCGAAAAATTTTTTTTAAGTACTACATTATTCAAATCATCTGAGAAAAAAAAGTAAAATACGATAAAAAATACCTTGGTAAATAAACAAAATCAAAATCCTTCTTCTAGAATTTGTTCCTAAAGTTCTAGAATTCTAGAATTAAAATTCTAGAATTTGTTCCGGAAAAGATTCGCCTACGCAAAATCTATCTGCATTTTCTCTTTTTAAAAGAAATATTCAAAACTGTTCAGTTATTGCGTGGGCTATTTTTTTTTAAATTTTGACGTGTACGCCTGTTAACAAAAGTATTTCATGAATGAACAAAAACTATTATAAAGACTTATACGTAGGTTTTATCGAAACTTACTCTAGTTAAAGTATGAAACTCTGTGATTAATTCGTCACATAATTTAAGTCATGAAATTACTTCAAGTAAGTGACTTATTTGATAAGTCGTCCAATTTGAGTGCGGGAAGAAAATATAAAGAGATTTTTGAACTTCCGATTCTTTTAATTTTTTATGGCCCCGCGTATAAGTCGACCCCCCCCACTTTGAAGTCTTTTTTTTGTCCAAAATATCTCGACTTATACGCGGGTATATATGGTAATTCATTTTCAAAATAAACATTAGCTTGTAACGGCATAAAATGTAAATAATTAGTTTGGAAGTAACTCACGAATATTTCAATAAGTCTGATTGGTAGACTATATCGGTCTTTCACGGTAACATATATATATAAGTAGTAAGTAGTAAATCATAAAAATGTGATATCTAGTTGGTCAAAAATTGAGCGTTCAGCTGCAAATTTTAAAATGGATTGATAAGAAAAGAAGAGGTAAAAAATAGCTAAAGCCGTAAAGAACATTTGAACTACCTAATGCCTGATATTAAATGTAAAACAAAGTTAAAACAACAAAATCGAAGTTAAAGTAATAAATTGTACGCGAAAAAACATACACATTATACAAAAACATTTTTTGGGGAAACCTATACAACAGAATCAAAATTGGTACATAAAAAAACCTTAACAATTTACAAAATACTGAGAAATTTTACATATAAAAACACGGTCAATCTATCTATCTAGCTATCTATGTACATAAATAAAGAAACATAATAAGAGGCTAAGAATTAAAAAAACAAGGTTATAATACCCATCTTGCGCTATAGCTGCAGGACTGAAGTAAATTGATTATAATTAAAGAATCTAAAGTTAAAAGTAAATTGGAGTCAAAGCAAGGTAATACTTCAACAATATTCATAATTGCAACCGTGTATAAGAGGTTTAATACAACATCAAAACAAATAAAAAATTTAATTCAAAGTAGTTTTATTTTTCGAGTTTGTACTATAAGATATTTCTCCCGCCTTCTTAGCATGCCTTCGTGGTATAGTGGTCAGCACGCTCGGCGTGTATTCGAGAAATCCGTGGTTCGAGTCCCGGCGAATATATTGCTCGTTTTTCCTGTGTCCTATTTCGAAATAACCTAATGACTCTACAGTAACGCCCGAACTAAAAAAAGGTGGTGGATGATGATTCTCCGCTACCAGGATTTGTCAATAGGGTCCCCTAATCTCCAGTCGCCCTTTAAAAGGAGAAGTATATAAGGTATTTATCCCGTCTTTTTAGCATGCCTTCGTGGTATAGTGGTCAGCCCACTGGACGCGTATTCGAGAGGTCCGTAATTCGAGTCCCAGCGAGGGCATTGCGCAATTTTTATCTCCTTTGATTTTAGAATAAACCTAATGTCTCCACAATGCTGCTTTGAATTCTTATCTTTTTAATTGTTTTGATATTGTATTACACGTCTTATACACGGTTGGAATTATGAATATTGTTGAGGTATTGCCTTGCGTTGATTCCATTTTGCATTTAACTTTAGATACTTTAAGTTCATACACACACACATATATATAGAGAGAGATTTCTTCTTCTATATAGTAGGTAAATAGGCAGATAACTATATTTAATTAATTATTTTTATTTACAGAATGCAAATGTGGTGAAGGCGCTAACTGTACGTATGCTTATTTCGGCGGTAAAACATGCATTTGTAAAGAAGGATATGGAGATAATAATGGAAAATGTGAACGTAAGTTATATTGTATACAATCACTGAAAGTCCTGTATTAATATTTAGACATTATACTCAATAGTAATCTAATCTTTGGTAAAAATCTAAAGCTATGTTCTTCAGTCAGTAATTAGTAATAACCTGCTGGAAAGGAGTTCTTAAGTATTTTAGGCTAGTACATTTAATGAATCACTTGAAACCAGTGATAATGTTTTCGTTAAACCGAGTCGTTAAATTGAAGATGATGAAAGAAACACACAAACATACAACGACGCAGAAAAATTAGAGAACTATTTTCTTTACGAAAATTTCAGTAACGTAACCACATTGAAACCATTTATATCTCATCTAAACAACAGAACTTTTCGAAATTTGTTTTACGGAGTTAATACTTGCTTAGAAAAGAAATGTGATAAAAATTTCATTTCCGAAATTTTATTTTCAAATTTTTATTGCACCTTCGGTTTCTCTTCTGTATTTCGTCCTTCAGTAAGAACTGTGTTGTTATCTCTAGTTGACGAAGAACATGTACGGAAATCGATTAATAGAATTTCTTCCTCACTTCCAGAGTCATTTAAAAAAATTTCATATCCCTCTTTCGAAAATACGTAGCAGTTGTCGTCTATAAACAAACAACAGTTTTAAGTTGAATTTCACCTAAAATTTAAATTTCAAAGTATTACATTTTTCAGATCACAGAACTAAAGCCTTTTTCATTACCATTGCGTTATATTCTTTAAATTGTTAAGCTTACTATTGCTTGCTATATCATTTTGGAATACGGATGATTTTCGCAAATCTCTGTTCTTTGTACTTGTTTATTCTCTTTCTCACCTTTTTAAATTATTCGCCTAATTTTCATTTCTTCTTCCTAATCACGCCACAACGTCGCCAGAATATCCGCTTCTCTAACTTTTTTTTTCTGTTTTTTTCCCTCATTGTATAATATTTACCTTATTAATCCCATTGCCGAATTATTAATTGAAACTGGCTTTTGATGGCACCACGCCTGATATGATCTTACGTTGGTTGAGGGATAAGCCACATCACTCGCTCCAAGGTCAGTTAGAAGCACGGAGGAAATTATAATTATGCAACACATTTTTCCTTCATCATCCAGAGAATGGATCCATCATTGCGCTAGACTTTGATTATTCTGCCCCAAAATATGAAATCACACCGCGGAACTAGGAACATTCAAGAGCAAGGGAAGCATAGTTACGTGTTCCTCAATCCTTCCAGTCCAAACTACGCATAGGATCATAATATAGGGCAGGGGTTCTCAACCGGTGGTACGTAAGAGAAAAATAGATGGTACTCAAAGAAGCAAAACTATTAAATTCAAAAATTGAAACTTCAACATCCTGATTGAGCTTTTTCTCTAACACTTGGAAATTTATGCGATCTGAGCTTTGTTCAAGAGTGGTGGTAGTAGTACTTTGTAGTGGCGGTACTAAAGGTTTTCAATTTTTGTTTAGATGGTACACGTTAGTCAAAAGTTTGAGAACCGCTGGTATAGGCTACATCAGTAAACAATCCCCGGTCTAGTTCCTTTCAGCTCCCCTTAACATGACAGCAATTCCACCGTCAAAGTACTCTTCTGGAAGACGAAGCGAGTGGGAAACAATCCATTGCTCTTCTCATATGAAATCACGCCTCTTGAAGACTTAGTGCAGCAGTAGTTATTCTAATTCAAGTTTCTATGGCAGTTTAAAGGTATAACCTGTCTGATAATACTATTATGAACACTAAATACAGGATAAAATTCAGAATGCTCATTAGAATAATTTATAACCCCTAGTTTAATGACGTGAATTTCGCCTATACAGCATTGGATATAAAAAATAATGAATGTTGATTTTGTGAAGTAGAAAAGCATTCGATTTTGAAAAGCCTGCATAATTTTAATGCAATAATAACATAATAAATTACAGTATATAAATTACTTAGAATGCTAAGTTATTCACATATTTAATTTCCTCGAGTTATTTCTATCTATCGCATCTGTAAGAGTAAAGCACATATAATTCTTTTTAAAAATATTCATTCTTATAATTTGTTAAATGAAGTTTAGGAAAACCTTTCTCTGCAGCATTATAATGTCTAATAAAGGAAGCATATATCAAAATACGAAACTACCTTGATCTTGTTATATTATCAACATTTTGCTTTCTGTATAATTCTGATCTAAGAGCTATTATATGCAACTCTGTCTACTCATAGAGTGTTACTGTGGACCAAATACTGGCTGCAGATTCGATAAATATGGTAGGAAGACTTGCTTTTGTCTAGAAGGATACATAGAAGTGGACGGAAAATGTAAAGGTAAAACATTTTAAAATAAAATTCCTGCCTCTAAGTTTTGTCACTTAAAAGCTGCATCGAATAATATATTTTTATAAACAGAACTAAACATGCATTAATATAACCCCGTGTATTTCAATTATTATGTCTTCAAGTTTAAATTCACTGTACATAGTATTATACGCAGTCTAGTCACATTAATATGACCATCACCTACTTTCTACGTCAAAGTGAAATAACCAATCACAGGTAGGTGGTAGCACATTGCAGTGGAGCGTATATAAAAGGTGTGCAAGAGAATCAGAACGCATTATTTCGAAGCTCAGGGCTTCATTTCGGTTTCTTTTACAAGCTTATCTCAACTGAAAAAGTTTTACTTTTGGACTTTTACCATACGTCAGGACCTTAAGGATACTCATTCAGGGATCTGGAAAGAGCAGGAGTAGTGCATCTCCCGCTGCATGCCAGAATAACCAACAAAATATAAAAAAGAATACATTGCAATCGTTGGCGTAATGCAGAAACGGAGCGATTTGTCTGACGTCCAAAAGGGATGATAATTAGCTTTTGGGCCAAGGGTGGAAGCATTTCCAAAATGGCTAATTTTGTTAACTGTTCGCGTGCCGCCATGGTAAAAGTATACTGTGCATGAAAAAATAGCATTATCCAAAATCAGCGACGTGGCAAATGTGGGCACCGGGGGCCATGGATGGCAGAAGTGAACGACGGCTGCGGAGATACGTTCGTGTGAAGAGACGTGCAACCGTTGAGAAACTGACCGTCCAGATTACCCAACGCGTTACCAACAGTTGCTCCTCAATGTCGGTTTAGCGAACGTTGCTGCGTACAGTCCATTGCAGTAGACTTCGGGTTAAAGCGCCTATGCTTATTGCGGTTTATCGGCGACGAAGGGTGGAATTTGCACGCCTGTACCGCAACGCCAGTCCGCTGTGTGGCGACAGGTGGCCTTTTTCCGATAAATCATATTTTATGCTCTATCGGACAGATGACGTGGCGTATATGGTGTGAAACGTCGGACAGCAAACAGACTGCAACAATTGCCAGAAGGGTTCAAGCTGGAAGAGAGAGCACTGGGTCTGGGGAATAGTTTTTGGCATTCTCTGTGCACTTATCACTGTAGATGTCACGAAGGATCAACAAAAATACGCATCTGTTCTTGCGGACCATGTCCACCCTTACATGAGAATTGTTTTTTCTCAGAATTATGGCGTCTACCAGCAGGACAATGTGAAGTGTCATACAGCTCGCAGTGTGTGTGCATGGTTCAAAAACCAACAGGACGAGTTTACTGTACTCTCCTGGTTAACAAGCTCCCCGAACTTAAAACCAATTGAGAATCTGTGGGACCACTTCTATTAGTTTGTTCGCGCCATGGATCCTTTACTGCGTAGCCTAGCGTAGCTGGCCACTACACTGGAGCCAGCATGATTCAACATCCCAGTGAACAACTTCATTAAACTAACTGACTCTCTTCCTTCACGTTTTGCAGCGGTCCGCTCTGCGGAAAGTGGTTATTCTGGCTTTTGACAGGTGGTCACATTAATGTGACTGGACTGCGTGTATAAGTAAACTTTTAAGGAAAGAATTTATGAAACATCTGGAATAGATTTTTTAAAGGAAGTTTCATATCTTTACAAAATAAAAAGTATTGCTAATTAAGAAAATAATATATTGCATGCCTTATACGTAAGCAATCCTGTTAAATAATTGTTAACTACATCTTCTAAAATTAAGATTTGCTTTAATAAATAAGAATAGAAATCTCGTTGGTGTTATTCCTGGCGATATAATGTCACGATATTTTATTCAGTTGTCTTTGCCAATTCGAAGAGAATATTTTTAGGCACTGATTTTCCATTCTGTGCCTTGCCAATTTGAAGAGACCATTTTAAGCGCTGATTTTCCATTCTGTGTTTTTAAATGCTGAAAAGCTTACTTTTAAGGTCTCGTAACGGCTTAACTTTAAATTCTTTCAGATAATAAACTGATATTTAAATGTCAGTAAACTAAAATTCCTATAAATCTTACTTTTTTATATATTCTTAAATTCTGTACTAGTTTTTTAACTGAAAAGATAATTAAACTAGTTTTTTAACTTAAAATAAAATCCGTTTGAAGAACGCAAGCATAATTTAAAGTTTTCAGGTAGAAATTTACTGTTTTGAATTTAAAATTTTAACTTGTTTGTATTAACAATAAAAATTGATATAGCGTAAGAAATGATAAGTATGATCAAGTGAGAATATTTTGTAAAAATACTATTTTGTTTCTTTAGGATTTGGAATATAATATTTACATTGCATTAAATTACTCTGTTTTCTTTCTAGATCTCTGCATCCCCAATCCGTGTCAAAACGGAGGAAAATGTAAAATGGCGAACGGTGATTACAATTGCACATGCAACTTTCCCTATTCGGGAAGAAACTGTGAAAAAGGTATTTTAATTTGTAGCAATATTTTATGACCCTGTTTATGACCAGTCTTTCTATCTTAGATAAAAACGACTCGAAGATTTGGTGGAGTGGCTGAGAGGTTTTGGACTGTCAAACTCCCTCCAAACGTTTTAAATTATTCATCTTTTAGTCAGAAGGACTTCGGCATTTATAATTTTTGTAAAAGCTAGTTTTTCTTTAATAAATGGTAATATAAACTAGAAATTTATTGGAGGTTTTTGGGACTACGAGCATAAAAATCTATAAGAGTTCCTAGCAAGAAATTTTACCCTTAAAGTCGCTATTTATATCAAAACCAAAAGTGGCATTAGGTATTATGAACTACGGCAAATAATCTGATTTGCGAATCACGTAGGCATACAGAAATAAAAATGCTGGAAAAAATGGATCATTGCTATGATAGAGAAATAATAAAAGTCTGTACTTGAAAATAAAATTCTGAACAATAAGACTTAATTGAAATGTTATTCGAGTATATCAGTTGTGTAGAGACTGAGATATATCTTTCGTACTGAAGGAACTTCATTCTGATATCTTCTCGATGAAGTATGAGGTGATCATAAAGTAACTTGAAAAAATAGTCCTGACCGTTGCAGAGCGGAAAGCGACAAATACATAGACTTTTCGAGCGATAAATGCAGATGGACATGCACTCTCTATATCCTTCCTCTACCCTTACAGAGCAAGAAACAGAACATATATTGCAATTACTGTTAGAATAATCTGTACCGAAAACTTAGTTGAGCCTTGTTTCTTCTCCTGATGATTGTCTGTTATTTTAACTATTCGAAACTCATTATTTCTGCAATTTAGTAAATGTCATTTGGTTAATTCTGTTTGATCCGTAATCACAGCGACAATATTTTATTGAAGGAAATCTAAGCAATGCTTATGCAGAGGCTAATGGGGGCACTTTTTCCATCAAATTAATATAGAATGCAATAGTTTTGAGGCCCAAAATAATTCTTCTATTTTTAAACAATCCTCACGCAATCTCAAAAGATCTCAGGAATATCAAATTTATGACAATGAACAATGATTTTGTTTTCCATTAATCTAGATTGTGAGTGTGAAAATGGTATATGCGTTGAAGACCAGTTTGGAAATGCAGTCTGTCAGTGTCCGCCTGGATTTGGTCTTTATTTAAATAAAAAATGCAAAGGTATGTATAACTGAATACACTTTATGTATTGCACATTTTATAACGAAATATTTTCAGTAGGTTTCTTTTGCTTCGGTTAGTATATACATCGATTATTAGATAACAAATTTTCCACATTATTACTATAGTTAATCATTTCTTAAATTAGTATTCATTATCTTAATTTACATTAAAATTCACAAAACGATACTTTTATTGTTAGAATGGCATTCATATGCACTTCCGACATTTGCTTTTATAAACAAGTATGCATGCGCCTGAAAGTAAATATATCAGTAACATTAATTATGTTTTAGCACTCTAATTTCTCAAATAAATAATGTGTTTTTTCAAATCTCATTTAATAGGAACTTCAGAAAAGAGCTTTAGCAGCTGTTTGAATTAAAATTGTAAGTGCATAGAAATAGTCGGCATAAATGTTTAGACTCACTCACTCACTCAGCACCTGAAATTATTTTCAAGAATTTAAAATTCCGAAACTCAAGGTACAAACTTTAATACAAAAAAAAATCTAGAAATGGGCACCAACTTTGAATAAGAAACAAAGATGTATATTGTAAATACGGAGTGATTCAGAATTCATCATCAGTATTTGGTGGGGAGGTAGGGAATAGGAAAAGAAGGAGATTTCACATAGGTGCATATGCCATGTAGTAGGGCAAAATGACCCCAGTTCAGTGAGGGAAAAGAATACATAAAAAGAAAGTAGTAAGGAAAAAAACATTTATTATCTTACATGTAACATTTCTTTGCATCGGTTTTACAGACTTACAACAGGTGCTCGAACTGCTAAACATGGGCTTGAATGCATGACTCACAACGGCGTTGCATGGACAACCGGACCTTCTGGAATATACCTGGCATTTACATGCATATCTGCAAGTTTATTCCACGTATACCGGGTTCATGTTAATTCTGCAAAGTCACCTAGTCGAATGACGACTGGCTGCACACGTCAAACAGCTGTGCCAAAGAATATGTATACTTTCTTAGACTTTCTTTGGCTGTGCTTATGTATGAAAGTTGTATACGCACAGCGCCCTCTACACCACTATGCGTTCGTCTGCGTCTATACTTTCCTATGTCAAATCTCCTTCTTTTCCTATTCCCTAACTCCCCACCAAATATTGATGGTGAATTCTGAATCACCCTGCATATTTTGAAAGTGAGTTCGATATGCAAAACTTCTGTGCATAATTATTCTGAAATGCAAATTCTGTGACAATTTTTCATCAAAAGAAAAAAATCTGAAGTGGACATTAAATGACTTACTTGTACGGCATATTAAATTATACACATATTTTGCTCTATTTGATTCAAACGTATTTCCTCGAATTTCGTTAGAGATATATTTCTCACTCAATTAAGTCAGGTCTCCCTTCGTCCCAAGCCAAAAATACATAAAATCTCGAAACACCTCCATTAGTAAAAATTGTAAAATACAGAAAAGCATAAAACACCAAATGCAGTTAAAAACAGTTTAAAAAAAGTTTTAAATAGCTAAAATTAGACCTTCTTTGTTCTCCTAAGAGTTTCAAATATAAACAAATAGCGGCCCTCATTAGGCTTAGTACAATTTGTACGCAGATTAACTAAATTCATAAAACACTTAACCGGCACATAAGGATAACCTAATTCGATAATTTTTAAAGCTAAAAATGCACGATTTACCAACATATAAGAAGAGAAACCTGTGCTATGGGTAACTATGGGTTTTTGTTAAAGGAAGTTTCACGATAAAGCATGCTTTTTACATAAAATAATAATAATTGCTTTTTACATAAAATAAGTAGTTGCAAATTTATTTCAGATTATATATTACGTTAGCTTACGAAAAAATGATAAATGCAATACAAATACTTTTCATACAAATTTCTATCTAGATTTATGTAAATGAATATATTTTAAAAGTACTAGCAATTCGCAATAAGAATCATCGTAACATATCTAAATTGGCAGAACTACAGTTTCAAAGGTTAAATAAAACCTTCTTTTTCAATTGCCAGAATATAAAAGTCACTCGAGTGATTTGCGATAACAGCAGATAAAAAATTAGACAACATTTCAACTCTGGAAACGGAAACAAAGCCATTGGACTGTTTTACGCACAAAGCGCGAAATATTAACGCTCTGATCGGCAGAACCATATATATATATACGGTCTAGAATATTTTTAATTCACATTCCAGGCGTAAACCAAGAACTGCTCATTCTTCAAAACAATTCTCGCTTTACGCTTGTGCTATTTACGTTTGAAATAGTTTTTGAATGCAGAAACATGAATAAAGACATTTGAAAAATGTACATGTGGCTTTTCCTTACTTGTGACATAATATAGTTAGCTGAATATTATGTTAAAGAATGCTGAAAAGTACCACTAAATCAATCACTGGTGCACATATGTTTTCCCATTTTAAAATTATACGTGTTCATTTGCAGCATGCGAATGTGGCGGAGGAGCAAGCTGTGAATTTAATGGATCGGGAGCTGATACTGTGAAGACTTGCCTCTGTAAAGAAAGGTATAAAAAGGTCATGGATATATGCAAGGGTATACCTCCTCAAAATACTTTCACACTGCATAAATTTTAAATATCATAAATATTGCATATAAAACAATTTAATTATTTATTTACGTCTGTTTTCATAAATGATAAGAATTATATATTTATAATTCAGACTAAAAAGAAATTTACATTGTTAAAAAATTAAAAAATAATACAAAATGAAACATATTTACATTATACTTACTTCGTTTATATATTATATGTTTTTCAAAGACTTTGAATTTAATTCTTTTCAATCAGTTGTTTTCTGGTACTTCTGTGATACTCTCGTTAAGTTGCAGAACTCGGAACATTGCGCATGATGTAGGCATTATTTCGCTAACTAGTATGCTCGAATTACTGATTGCTACCTAGAAATTGTGTGATTGATAATCCGTATATAATACAAGATTTTACAGAAGTGCCACATATAAAAGGCAACATTCCACATGTGATCTGAATTTTAACCATTCCTGGAGTCAATATTTTCAAAACGAAAGTAATTTGAGTTTGACTTGACACAGAAGTAGGTAATTTATTCTATACGAGTATAATTGTAATCACATTTAAGGGGACTCATACACCTTAAAACCCATAAGGTGTTCGAATAGGTGACTGGTGCAAGAATTGCTATAACTAATTTATTTTAAAAGCAATTAATACCAACGTTTTACAGCTGACTACATAATATAGCTGCTTTCTGAAATAGTAATCAGAACGTTTGTGTTGCCACAAATATTTTTTATAATTTATTCCGTTTTGTGACAACATTTTTCGTCATTTTTCCAACTTGCGCGCACAGTTTAAAACATTCTGTTTCATAATTTAATTCCATATTTAATATATAGCTTTTATAACATGTGGAAACTACTGTGAACCTAAAATTCTAAAAATTTCATGTTAAAATTTTATTTATTTTGAGTGGAGTATGTCAAATGTATTTTATTAACAAAATTTGTAACGTTTTCGTCCACAAAATTTTTCAATATTAAAATATTCAACAGATTGTTGGTTCAGTTAGAAAGTAGTGCCCATATAAAGAATTCCATCCAATTTCAAGTATGTACCATTAGCCATTTTTAAAATATTATGCGCGCAAGGTGGAAGCATGGCGAAATATTTTGTCACAAAGAGGATTAAATTACAAAAATATTTGTGGCAACACAAACTTTCTGGTTACTAGTTTGCAAAGCAGCTATATTATGTAATCAGCTGTAAAAAGTTGGAAATAATTGCTTTTAAAATAAATAATATATTCAAATTCTTGCAACAGTCACATATTCGAAGATCATGAGGGGTTTAAGGTGTATGAGTCCCCTTAACAAACTGTGTGAATTTGAATAAGACGATTCAAACGAAAAATGTCTCTAATGTAATCGACTCAACCATCAGTGGCTGCATTTCAATCCAATGTGGCTTATCACTTCGATTTGAAGAAATTTCCAGCATACAAAAAATACAGGCTTGTGTTTACCGAAAGTATCTGCTGATAGGTAGTATAGGAGGTTAGTATCAAGTATTTGTATATACATTCAAAAAAATATATAAGTAAAAAAAAATAAGTAAGAGAGGGGGGAAAACCTTTTTTCGTAGACATATGAAAATAAAACCATTCAAATACCAAAGACTTTGAAAGTATCTCTCTATATGTAGAATTCTAGTCTGTCTTCTTCATAGCCCACTAGGCAGAGCGGTAAAATAGCTGAACCCTGGTAGTTTCGACCTGGGTTCGAATCTAGGTGAATGAGCTGGTACCGGGCGTTTTTATGGTTTTCCTTATGTGTAACGTGTATAAGAGCCAGTTTCTCTTAAAAATGACCTCCAAGAAGATATCCATCCTCTAAGCAGATAGCCTTCGAGTTTATTTCCATAGCAAATTAACCAACCAACTTTCTTCTTCACAAGAACATTTTGCGGGAGCATGCCTGTTTATTGAGATATAATCTCAAAATTAAATTTGCGTAGTTAATAATCGAACTTACAGATTTTTTAGTAGCACATATTTGATGTGTTTGCCTTATGCATCTAAATAATGTTACTAGCGATTCAAAGCAATTATACTTGAATGCGTTCTTGGAATAAGTACTTCTTGTTTGTGTCCTTACAGAGTGTTATTGTGGCCCGTCTTCATCCTGTTTCTTCGAAAATTATGATATTAAGCACTGCATTTGTCCAGATGGATTCATGGAAATTAATGGAATGTGTAAAGGTACGTAAATCTTTGCATCGATGATTAATTTTACATATTTCCTTTTCCGAAAAGTAATTTATTCTAGTCACTGTACTTTTAAATAAATTATGTATTTATCAGGCTTTTAAACTTTTAACTCATCCATGAAAGTTCAAAATAATAAAAAAAATATTTACCGAAGCAACATAAAGAAATTTTATTAAAGGAATTGAAAGTAATTCAAGCACATAGGACTAAAATGAATACATTTAATGGATTAATTGATAATTCCTTTGTATTTAAAAACAAACCAAGAACAAAGATCGATCTAGATTTATGTTAATGAGTAGATGTTATAGATTCTAACTGTTCGAAACAAGAATCATCGTAACATGCTTAAATTGGCAGTACAGTTTCAAAGGTTTAATAAAACCTTCTTTTTCAGCTGTCAGAATAAAAGTCACTCGAGTGAAGGCCGTGATTGGCGATAACAACAGATAGAAAATTAGGCAATGTCTCAACCATGGAACAAGAAACAAAGCCATAGAGCTGTTTACGCACAAAGCCTGAAATATTAACTCTCTGATATGCAGGGCCATATATATATATATATATATATATACGGTCTAGAATATTTTTTGGCTAATAAAACAGGGTCTTGAAATATCACATTAAAAACATAAAATATGCTAAAAATCTTAAATCAAACATTTTCCGTTTTACAAAAGTTCATTTTTCCCCTCCGATTATTGATCCTAATTCTAATCCGTCTTTTCATTTCAGTTTTCAAGAATTTATCTTACAGTATTCACGTTTGTATCAATAGATGGCGCCAGTGGCTTTGTTTCCTTTCATTTGTAAGAACTTTCCTGAATTTTCTGTGTATTGTTATTATGTGAGCACAGGCTTTCTTTCTGCTGTTTTCTCTCCTGCAACTGAATTCAAGATTCTAATTAGGATTCTAAAATTATAATCTTGCAAATTTACCAATTACTCCATTATTCTTGTTTCTAATTATTAGTAGCTTCAGCATTTTTTCTTCGGCATGTTTTTTTGTTTTAGCAAATGATTATATTTATAAACGAATCTTTAATCTAGAGGAATTGTTAGAAAAAATATTGGGCACAGAAAGACACATGGTTTCAGAACTTATGATTTTTAAAGAATTAGAATTCGGTGGCACTGTAAAAGTTATTATTTTTCATTTCAATGCGAAACTCAAAAGGATTCAATAGATTCTGCATATGCAATGGTTCAGTATATGTTCGATATAATTTTTTTACATATGCAAAAGTTCAATATATTTAGTAAATACAGTAAATATTAATCCAAAAATACCAAAATGATGCATAATTATCTTTTGAATATGCACTTAAGCTGCAATTAAAATAATTTCAACTTTCCCTTGACAGTAAAAAAAAATGTAGTTGTTTGTATTCGTAAAACGATTATTCATCAAAGACTTATTATTTTAGTGTTTAACAAAGTTGCATAACATGCATACGAGAATAATTATTTCCCGCGTTCAGAAAGAATCAGATGTTCTGTAGTTCAAACCCCCAAGAAAACACAATTGATGTTTTACGTTTCCTGCGTATGAAATGGTTAACGGTCTCCTCATGGGACAATATTAAGTTTTTCTTGTATGCATTTAATTAGGAAATTCAGGCACGCACTTCTACATAGCAGTAGGTTAATACCTATATTGTCAACTGTTCCGCGGAAAGTATTCGCGCATATTGTAGCCAGTCTATTTAGATCACGAGTAAATATTTCAGGAACCGAATCTGAAGAATGGATGTTACGAAGTGTTCACGCAATCGAAAGGTCGACTACTCAGAATTTGGTACTCACCTGTTTCAGCTCAAGCGATTGCTTGCATTAAAATAACATGAATATTTATGCGCTTAAATTGGGTGTATATTTTTCCGTTATTCGATACAAATACTGTAACTACACACTGAATAGATGTCTGCTCACACTTTTGCAGGAAAACGAGAATATCAATCTTCGCTCACCTGTCACCATATAATCTTAAAAATGTCTCTTACAGCGTTCTGTGTTAACAATTCATTATGCCCAGCAAATACAAATGACGATATTAGGGAAGACGAAACTGCAGAAGTTGCACCGTTCCCTGGCGATCTGAAAAAATATTAGTTGATCTGCTACAGCTGCGCCAGGCAGCTTTAACCTGATGCTGATGCATCACACTCAGAAAATTGTTTTATAGCAGAGCCATGGCATCTTATGCAACCCAGCCGCAATTTCAGTGGACTCGCTTGCGTTACAATACTCAGTTTAACAGTTTTCAAACTTATGAAACGAACAAGAACTGAAATGATGACATTGCCATCTCAACGATTTTAGTGAAAGCACAATTTTAGCACTATCAGTGGAGGCCACTGTGTTACGATTCCACTGAAACCAAGTTCGATCCATCCACTCTATCAGTAAAGTAATGAACATCATACTACATTCATAATACCAAGGATCTTTAGAAACATCATAAAACTTTAGAAACATCATATAACAGGCTTCTGCAACAGCAGCAGTAGTTTGTACTACAAATCGAAAAAATGTGGCTTCATTAGAAAAACATGAAAGCATCATCGTGTCGTTCTGCGAATAAAGAAAACGGTTTTGTTTATTTCACTGATAAAGCTGATCAGCTAAAATTTATCTGAGCATTATTTAAAATGTGCTCAGTAATACTTTTTGTGTATTTCAGAGCAAGAGAACACAGATTTAATTTTTTTCTCTCCTTTTCAGATCCCTGCAACCCAAATCCATGCAGAAATAGAGGGAAATGTCTGTTCTATAAAGGGAATTATAGCTGCGCTTGCTTTCCTCCGTACATTGGAAGGACATGTGAAATAGGTACTGTGTTTTCAGTAAATTACAATTATGTTGCAGATACCGTATTTTTTTTGGGGGGGGGGGGGGAACTGTGAAATGCAGAAACCTTCATAATTCACGTTCTGTGGATGTTTGCAACATTGATGCATGCATATTTTAAGTTGAAATGGTGCGATTCATGACACTGCATCTAAATATATATTTCATACAAAAGCAAATGTTAGAATAGTTTTTTTTTCTATCAAAACTCAAAATAATTACAGATTTCGAGTAAAATATTTTAATTTTAACTAAAGAACTGTGTAAAGTAGAAACGTTAATATTCCATATCCCGTATACCCATTTTCCTGCAATCTGCGTGCAATGCATGACTACTTTAAAGGAAATAAATTAGATATTTTTTCATTTTAGAAAACATTATAAAGTGCAATGTAATTCACTAAAATCATGTTTTAGATTGTTAGTTATGTATGTTAAAATGCATGCAATTGACAAATTACATACAAATGATGCATTTTGATTGCATGGAATTAAATGACTATACTGACCTGCCTGTTCTGTGCGATTTAAACGGATTATATTGAAACCCATATATTTTTCTTAAAATGTGTAAATATGTTACATTTAAAACCAAAAACTAAATGCAAAATTAATGTTTCAGAGAGACTAGGAAATATGCATGCTTATCAAAGAAGAGCAGAGTCTATCACTTTTATCGCTGCATTTTTCAGAAAAACGTAAACTTTTTTAATTATGCTCTTTAAAATGATCTTTCAATTGATGATGATTCAATTTCTGACTTGCTTCAAATTTCAAGGAAAAGTATTTAGTACTATAGATTGAATAATACCCTATCGCATAAACCTTTGAAAGACTCTCAGAATTATAGATCCGCACCCTTACAATATAACAGTCTAAAACCTGCAGAAAATTCACTCTAGCGTAATAAGAAATAGTAATAAATTGCGATAAAATTAATTTTTAAAGAATGAAAGTTCCTTCATTGTAACTGTAACGAGACAGCACACAATTTTCTCATTTGGACTGTTGGAGGAAAGTATAGTAAAGCAGAAATACTTTTTGTCCGTTTTTGTATTTAGGAAACTAAATATACTAAGTGTTTAGTCATTATGCACTGTTGGGCCCACCAGTGGCCAAGCGGTAAAGTCGCTGAACACTGGTAGTTCGGTCCGATTTTCGAATCACGCGAACCGGCTGGCTGCATGGGGGTTTTCGTGGTTTTCCCCATGTGTAACGTGTATACGAGCCAGTTTCCCTTAGAAGGTCCTCCACGAAGGCATCCCTCCCTTTATTACTCGTGTGCTTTGCCATAATTAAATACACCACCACACCACCACCATTATGCACTGTCCTCCTTTCCCTTGGACATGAAAAAGTCGTCGCAGCTAGAAACTCTGTTTTTTAATTATTATTATTATCATTATTATTACTAATTCTGGCTGTAAGGTCGATGACTGAGTGCATAACTGCCAATTAAATGCAACTAATAAAGATTTAATTATGTGAATGAATAAAATATCAGTAACTCCTTTTTTAAGTTTTAAATATACAGAGTGTGTCAAAAGGTCGTTGCCAGTCTTAACATACTGGTCAGTCATACCATAACGAAGAAGGTTTACGAAGGAACTTTTGTGCCCGAAGTTGAGAACGGAGGAAGCTAGAGGGCAATGTTCGCAGACTTATGGGAGAATGAAAAGCGAGATCATTTCAGGCGAGGATGTTGCAGGAGGAGGATGACTCGGTTTATTAATTCAAGAAATGGCCGAAATGCATTACTTGTATGGTGCAGCAGACCAGTCGCATGGCCACCGCAATAGCCTTATGAGGTATTTCTCCCAGTTACCTAGCGTGCCTTTGCGGTGTAACGGTAGCACGCTGGGCCGGTATTCCAGAGGTCCGTGGTTCGATTCCCGGAGAAGGCGTTGTTCATTTTTCATCTCTCTTGCTTCCAAAAAAAAATCCTAATGACTCTACAGCATGACCTGACTTCCTTGGAAATGTGGGGCTGCATAAATTCTATGGTATACGCGTGGACCGAAAAATGAACCGTCTATGAATCTCGTCGCCAGGATCGTGGAAGCGGCGGCACGCATCCGTGATAGACCTGCCCAATTTGAATGGATCCGTGAATCCATACATTGAATTATGTATTATGGCAAATGGAAGAATTTTGAATATCTTCTCTAATTTAACAATGGTCTTTAATATAAATAGTATTAACACCTCTTTGGACTTCCTTCCTTTCTCCCCTCTACGTCTGCTAACTTTGCCCTCTAGCGATCACCTTCTGCATTTTCGGACACAAGTTCCTATGTAAATTATGTTTTTCCAAGGTATGACAGATTAGCACGTTGAGTTTACCAAGGACCTTTTGAGGCACCCTATAGGCATGCCCTCAGACGACATCCCTGATACTTATGCGAATAAATAAATTTCATTGAATCTATGCAGAGCTTTTATGATTCGACGATAGGTCTACAATATGCTATTACATGTTGCATTGCCAATGCTGCCAAAAGCTTTTTTCAACCAGTTGATATCCCTCACGTATAGCAAACATAATCAAGGGCTTTCTGTGTAATACCACACCCTCTTTTTGCCTGCCAAATAGAGCACAAAAGCTGAGAGTCGTAATGATGGTGCAGCTGGCTCTGTTGATGGTCTTCTGTCTCCTGCCTGCCAAATCTTATGTAAGGATCTGTTAGGACGACAGTTTCAGCATTTTCGTTATGTGTGTGAATTCTCTGAGCAATTATTGGACTGCAAATTCGTTAGTTTACTACTCGCAAACTGTATTAGTCTAAGCTAATCTCCATTAAGTTTCAGCTAGAGGGATATTATGCAAGGTGTTCATAAAGTCCGGGACCCATTTTGATGTTTAATAACTCATACAATTATGAAGGTATAAACAAACTTATGACATTTATTGATGGAATAACTTATATTTTCCTTTTCAGGTTTGAATATCTTTACTTTTGTAAATATCGTCTGAGCGTGTGGTTAATTTCAGATAATTACATTTTCCAGTCTAAATACCTCTACTTTTCTAAATATAGTCTGCTTATTAATTGCGTTTTTCTCTCTTTTGTTTTTGGCAACTATTGCAATGTTATGTTTACTTTTGATGCGTTTGTTCTAGTACTTTTGTATGTGATGTTTTATCCCAGAATTTATGCCAGAATTACAACCGCAATAGCCTCTGTGGATGCCGACATACTTGCCGGTACCTGGCGTGAAAATGAATATCGACTTGATATTCTCCGTGCGACGAAGGGGGCACACGTGGAAGTTCATTGACAAGGGTCATGAAACGTTTTGAGTCTATCTAACCATTTATGTTATTAATTTTAATCTCTCTTTATTTTTTTATGATTTATTAAACAGCAAAATGGGTCCGGGACTTTATAAACACCCTGTATTTTTAAAAATCATGCAAGTCAACACTGATTAATAGTTTTCTAAAAACCGTATTATTTTAAAATTTGGGAATAGGACTTTCCTCTCACAACTCTCACTAATGTTTTTCCTGATGCATACTAACGAACTATTAACTTCCATTCCAAATATTTTTAAACATTACGCAGCAGTACAGGTTAAGAAACTGTTAATCATGTTCTCTGTATCTGTTTCTTTATTCATGCTCCAAAATTTCACACTAATTATCTAATACTTATTGTATATCTTAATTGGTATAAATGTAACAAACGATAATGAAAGTTAATTAAAGAATTAGAAATTCAATATTCCCCTGAAACAAACGGATGAGTTTTTAAAAATTCGGCAAAATATAGATAATTTCGTAAAAACATTCGCAATACAGCCCAAATTATGATCCCCAAAAATGTCAAACTCTGTAATCTCTTTAAACAACTAAAAAGGCTGCATAACCTTCTAATTTGACAAAGAGATGAGCTTTAAAACTTCAACAAAATATAGAGAGTTTCGTATAATTAATAAATGGTTATTTCAAAATATTGGGAACTTTTCTTACCCTTAAAACAAAACGTTTATTTGAAACCATCCCCCATTAAATTTTCATTGTAAATATATATTGTAGCGTTTTACGGGTTCGTGGGTTTAGAGTAATTGACGATAACACTTGATGAAGCACCAAATCACAGTTTATTCGCCAGTATTATACAGCAGAGTTCCAAAGAAACCTTTATAGTCATCGCAAAATTAAGATAAATAGGCTGAAAAAATCAGCAACACAGCCGTCAGTATAAAACTGTGAAGACTGCTTCACGGCAAAGTCCTAAAAGGCAGCTCTCGAGCTAATCTCTGAACACAAAATACTACTACTAAATTCAACACACTTACTAGTACGAGTCAGACAGGGTATATATAGCTTTATCCTACCTTCAAGAACATTCCCGAGGAAACCCGCTAGAATAGAGGTCTTCAACCTTTCACTCCCAAGGGCCACATCAATAAATTCACAAAGCTTCGCAGGCCACATGTCTGTCAAAAAATAGTGCAGTCAGAAAATTTATAAAAAAAAAAGGTGAGATTTGTTTTGCAAGACGTCAATTGATTCTAAGCGAAGAGATAGTGTTACAGATTTGTATATATGTATATATACATTGGTTCCAAAAAGTCAAATGGAAATCCAATTAAAATGTTTTGCAACTTTTTTAACTGTGAAAAAAAAAGCATAAAGAGGATTGTACACAACGATGTTACAAAATGCAATTACAATAAAAGAGAAAACGAAAAAAAAACTTACATTACTGGCGAGAGCTGGTAGTTATTTGACATTGGTTTTCCTTGATTAAAACTTCAGTATCCAGTTTAATCTGTGTTGTTGCAATTCGTAAAGTTTCCTCCAAATGTCTCTCTGTCAGCCGTGATCTTGTTTTTTTGATTTTAGGATTTTCGTTTTACTAAAATGCTGTTCACATATGTAGGTACTACCAAAGGTAGAAGACATGATGAGTTCATGTTTAAGAATTCCTGGATACTTGTCTTCGGTTACGTACTTCGAACAAACTTAATCTAGGATTTTCAAGAAAATTTGCATTTTACTGCAGTCACTGTAAATCTATAAATTCTAATTGAAGTTCAGGTGGAACACTTCCAACATCTACTGAAAATGGCAAAGAGAACATTCTGATAAAAATTTCATTTTCGCGAAAATCGGAAAATTTGCTTTTGAATTCCTCTTTCAAATTTGAAATGCATTGTACATAATTATTAAAATTTCATGCTGTAGCCATGACCTTCACATACTCCATCAATTTTGTAAAGTGAGTGGAATTCTTATTCAACAATTGACTTTCCCACAGGATCATTTTTCTTGAAATCAAAATTTCTTTAAATTCTTCAACTTTTCTTCAAATTTAAACGTAGGGCTACTAAACTGCCTTCAGCGGTGCGGCCCGCGGGGCAAGGGTTAAAGACCCCTACGCTAGAATTAGTTCTAAAATGTTCTCACTTCGTCTACGGCATATCACCAATTTTGTCGTCAAATGGGCGATTTCATGTCAAATATGTTAACCCTGTCACTTTCTGGCAACTGGGTATTTTGCAACAATACGCTTTACTGGAACGTTGAGAAACCATTATTTACATTCATTATAAATTTTCCGGTAAAAGTTTGAACTTGATGAACAATATATTTTTTTCTTGGCTTTGTATTAACATGGTTTTCAGAAATGTCTGTTGCAAGCTCTTTAAAACTGCTTTACTTTTCTTCCGCTGCAGAAATTTCTTTCCTTTCCCAAAAGTATGCCTGAATTTAAGCCAGCAAGATAATAAAAGAAATGAATAATGAAAGATAATAAAATAATACTATTTTTAACAAAATCGATATTTTAGAATTGTAAAAAACGTTCCGTGATGCATGCCATTTTACTTGTATTCATTGATATCTACCTTATAATCTATTTACTCCTTATCACAATAATTAATAATTTCACAAAACACGTAACTGATGTCACACATTCTTTTAATTAGACAATTAGACACAAAATGAAAAGTTAATGCACAAGTTGGAATAGACACATGAAGGGGAAGTTATTTTTTCCATCTCTCTAAATGAAGACATCTAAAAATCCCGAAAAATCACTCCTAAAGCTAAATAATTTACACAGTAACCTGGGGTAATGCTCTAAAAGATTATAGCTTTCTTCTCTAATCATTTTTACGAGTTAAAAATCAGCAATTCCAGTTAAGGGTTGCAAGATCCAAAATTAGTTTCTCATTTATAACAAAACTGATCTCTCACATTTCTTCCTATGGAAATTTAAGTGTCCTCAACCTTACACTCAATAAATTCTTCAGCGAGAACATGAAAGGTTTTTAGTCCAGGTAACATTTTTCTGTTTAAAATTTTCTTCCCTAATTTATTTTATTTGTACATATCCTGCATTTTTGAGGCAATATAAAAATAAAATTTCTCAACTTTCGAACTCTATGATTAAAGCTTATATGTATATTATATATTGTCTTTTATTTATACATTTTGTTTCGCCATTCCTAGACTGCAGCTGTGGGCCAAATGGCAAATGCTCTTTGGATATTTATGGAAATAAGCAATGTTACTGTCGGCATGGTTTTGCTGAATTTGAAGGATTGTGCAAAGGTAGAAATAATTTCTTTATCCTCTTCCTAGTTCCCTGATATTCATAGCATGATTTTCGTGCTCAGTTGTGAAAAATGCATACCTTTTACATTACTATTAGGAGAAATTTTCCACAAAAAACTTCGACAGTTTGACAAGAAATACCGTCTTATAAATGACCATTTGATTTTTTCTCATGACACTATACCAAAAATATTGTTATAAAAACTTATACTCTTGAATTTACATCAGACAGTATCTCATTTGTGGTTACGGAAAGAGTATTTTTATATTTGAAAGTTATTCTGTGCTAATAACATTGCATAATGACATGATATTGCACCTAATATTATGTGGTAGAAGAGATGTTTAAATTAGAGATTATTCCTGCAAAGTATTCAATTTATAAAAGAAAAAAAGATAGAGAAAGAATAATTCACAAATTTGTGATACAAGTTTGTTCAAACACTGAAATTTTCTCTTCGCAAATATTCAAAAACATGTTCCAAAGTATTTCCGCTGGCTATTTATTCCAATAAACCTGATTTTCTTATTGAAGGTTGCGTGGTAGATATTTGCCAGTTTTCAGTTAAAAAACATCCTTACTTTTCAAACGAAGGTAAAAAATTATCTTTAGTTTACCTGCCGTGGGAACTGTAGTAATTATAATCAGCAACAAAATAAGCTTTTTAGTGTACTGATCTGTTTCTTAGATTCTAGTTTGAAAGATTTAGAATCATAGTATTTATATAAAATGTTAACTTTTGTAATATGTATTAATAAGGGCTAAAGGCTAGTAATTATAGTAAAGAAGTATGCAAGATCCTATCAGATGACTTCTCCTCATCACGTGACAGTACACAGCTACCTGCAAGCTTCGCAGACCAATTAAATGAAATGCAACAGAACTGCTGCTTCTTACGTGACAATGGTCACGCTCTTTTGTCTACCTTCGCCTCTACGCCCAGCCAGGGCTCATTAGTTCGGAGCTTTCATCGTCATTTGTCGCATCGACATTACATCAGAGACCCGGAACATCGCGGCATACAAGTGGAACAAGGCTAGTAATTATATACCTCTTCAATTCTACCTCATATGAAGAACTCTTTACTACGTACATCATCATGTTTTAGGCCCAGACGGGATTCTCTGAGGGTACTGGCAACAGAAGAAGGGAAATAGCATGCTGAATGCCAGGAAAAACACCAAAGCATCATCATTAGCAATCATATCAGCATTCCTTACTTACTTTTATTTCTCTATTATTTTTTGCACCATGTAAATATAGTAAATATTTTTAATTCTGAAGTATTATCCAAGCACTGTGTGTTTCGAGACGGCCGATAATGAACTACTTGAAACACCTCTCTCAGGTGCTAGTTCTTCGCATTTCAATTCTGCTCCTGACTCATCGCCGAGAGCCATGTGACACCAGCATTGGATGGATTATGATTACCTGATAATCTAATTGTCGTCTTGTTCCGTCAATAGATGGAGCCACCTCCTCGACCAGCATTCTAACTTTCCTACATCTCCCAAGCCAGCTTGGAGGGATCAACTTTATAACCTCACCTGAATTTTTCTTTTTTTCTACAAGTATTGCCCTCCTAAAGTTTCACTGAAGTTACTTTCATCACAGTCCACTGCCGATTACTTTCAGGTTACAAAGAAGTACTGCAACAGCAGTACAAGCTCTGTATTAACACCGTTGTACCAAAGTATTAAAATATCAGTAATTATATATGCCAGCTATGTTACTTAGGTGAAGTACTGGATTTGCAGAGCAGTCTAAAAACAATGACGATTATCAAGATACTGCTTGGAAACTGCTCCCTGAATGCTAATTATCATTTCATTAAAGAAGGTGTTAAAGTATTGTCACACAACATGCGCGTTCCGTGAGCATTAGGTATGTTCATCTATCGGTTCATCTATCTTTCAGAGAGGAATGTTATCCCGTTTCAATCTGTATCATTAGGACTCAATCATGTTTTTAATACTAACGTTAGAGAAAGAAACCAATTTGATCAAAATGAACATGTAGTATCGCATTATGCGTATAGCACTAGATTTTCAAGTTATCAGCGTCATCTCTCTTTGGTTTTATCTTTTTCATAACTTTAAAGAACTACAAACTGTTTTGTTCAGGGAAAATATTTGATATGAAAGATTTAATTTAACTGCATAAATGGCCCTACAGTACTGAAAAATACTCAGCTAAAGTACCTTTATGTTACTCTTGTGAAAACGTTTATTTTCAAAAGTTCTTGTATGACACATTTCAATAAACGTATTAAGTATGCATTTGTATAAACATTGCTGAACGTTTAAATATACATTTGTTAAATTTATAACTGTAATCTTGTGACAATTATTTGTTTTCAGAATGTTCCTGTGGACCCTCCTCGGCCTGTTTTTTCAATAAAAATGGAGATATGAGATGTTCGTGTGAAATTGGATACACTTTTATCAATGGAAAATGTGAAGGTATGTCTTTGTAAAACGGAATATTTATGTGTGAATTCTGTACCGTAGACCGAACTGAAGTAGAAAGTGTAGTGTATTAAATATAAAGGAATTATATGCCGTAAATAATTTTCGCATATCTTAGAGTAATAGCTCTAATAATATAAAATACAGGATAGACTAGTATAATATTTTCATAAACTCAAATAAGAAATAGTATGTTAAACGAAAATTTTAAGAACATTAGTATTTTATTAAAACTATTATTTTCTACGTCAATAATAAATTTTGTTGGATACTTAGCATATAGAAAAATACATGCGTATTTCTTGTTATTTTACTATTATGTCCTTTACTATGATTTATTTGGAGGATTTCTCATGTTATCATTTATCATCTCAAAATTCTTAACAAATAAAATATACATCTACCTTTCCTGACCTATGTATTACTGGGAGGATTAATATGGATGATTTTGCGAAGCTGATTGATACCACATTTGAATGAAATAGTGGTTTTTATCCCTTTCAATGTTTCAGGCCATTAGTTCAAAGATTATTACAGACGCAGCAGACAAACATAGACCTCCGACCCTGGTCCGACTTGCGGACCCATACAGAGTTGTGTATCTATGGTCCTGGGGACATCATCCACGCGGGGCGCAACCCCCTCCCGACAAAGCACTGGCCAGAACAAATTGTAGATATGAATTTACTTAGTCATTTAGCTTCCGGTCACCACTTCATTGGCAGCGTACGTCGTTAAGTGCGTCCTGACCACTCTGTCAGTCCCCGTCACGAGAACTGAGTAGAGTAAAACCCCCGGGAATTTGGTCGACTATCTCCAATCTAGCGCCACCACAACCGAAGGAACAGACACGACAGTACCTGTCTATGTAAAGAAGAAAAGGCTCCATAGTCGTAATGTAAACCAGTTTGTCTTCTACGCCGCTAGAAAGAAGAGGAAAAATTCGCCAAAGGATTTGGCGATGGAACCTGTTGGCGAGAATTTCCCCCTTTGTGAATCCCTTGGCCGAGATTTTCCACCTCCGCCACGTGAACAGGAAATTGAGAAACACGGGCTAAGATGAATCGTTCTTTGACTTTTCGCGATAATTTAAACTCCAATTTTCGTCCTTTTTTGTTTTACTAGTTAAACTTGTATTATCCATATCACAGTTTGATGTCTGATTTTATATCTGTCAATATGTAGGGAAAAAACGAATCACACAGCTTTAAACTCTTGATAAACGTGACCGTCGAACCTGTTCGAACTTCGACAGCAGCTTCGAGCTTTGGCGCTTTTTGGCGACAGATATTTCACGCATGCGCAGTTGTGTCCCTTTTCGTTTGGAGGGAGCCACTCCTGCTGCTGCGAAGCTTTCCTTCTTAACAATACATATTCTTTGCCAGTACGGTTCCTGCCAAACCTGAACCAATCTAAGTACAATACTCGGGTTCTAGTCCTGTGAAGTCAAATTATATGCCTCCGTGACTGCGTGACTCCGTGACCGAGACTACATAAGTACAGATCCTAAGCAGTACTTCAGAGGAATTCTCCTGAGTCAACCCCCGCGGGGGATCAAAGATTATTACAAGCGAGTAATCGCAAGAATATCTCAGTCAGAATCTGTAATAGAAACAGATGTATTTTGAATCGAAGGCAGATGATGCGTTGATGCTGTGCCCCTCCCGGTGTTCGAATTAGATAACATATACATTTTCTTCTGCAGTATTATAAGGATAATATCTCTATTTCCACTCTTTGCTACCTCCTGTATCTTCTCTATATTTGAATCTGTGGTTCAAGTCGATGTTGAGATGCTGGCACGCATATTGAACGAAGTATAGTGTCATGCATATTCCTGCTATATCAGAAAAACGGATACACTATACGAAAGTTCTAATATGTGAAAGGTGTAATAAAACACACATATGTGAAACTTATAAATATAGAATGTCTAATAAGATGTACACTTTGCTTCTATGCTGCTGTTCCCCATCACAGGGGGGCACTTCAGCCTTATTTTAATTTTGTTGATGATGACGCTTGTCCACATAAGGAATAATCTGATGGCTAATGTTCTGAAAAGGGAAGAAATTATTCAAATGGACTGGCCAGCTAGTTTTGTTGACCCATACTTTCTATCACATATCTAGGACGCTCTGACGAGGGCAAGTGCAACTCTCCTTTTTCCCTTTGGGATTGGGGCCCACCAGCGGCCGAGCGGTAAAGTCGCTGAACACTGGTAGTTCGGTCCGAGGTTCGAATCCCGCGAACGGGCTGGCTGCATGGGCGTTTTCGTGGTTTTCCCTATGTGTAACGTGTATACGAGCCAGTTTCCCTTAGAAAGTCCTCCACGAAGGCATCCCTCCCCTTAGGCAGATAGCCCTCGTGTGCTTTGCCGTATTCTCAATACACACACCCTTTGGGATTGTTCAGAAACAAAGCAACATTGCTGCAGGAATGAAGCCAATTGTCATAGAGACTCAAAATCGCCTGACTTCCACTATGTCATGCTGTGAGGCCTATAAAGTATTAAGGATACCATACTCCTAAATAACCTCGTTTTATATTCGATCTTGCGATCTGTCTTTTAGACATTCCATCCCGAATGACTCTTACGCTCGCAAGACCATATGCCGATCTACTGTAAACGCTGTACGGTATATTTGTTTCGCGTTATATCAGCTTATGTCCACGAAAGATTTTATTAAACCTTGTCCAGTACGTTTTGAACTAATCCGCCAAATATGAAAATTCTAAAAAAAAAATAATTTTCAACATCTGTGTATTCATTAAAATACAATTTGATATAGGATGCGTAGCTTATTTGGTATATATGTTTAAAATATTTTCCGGAATTGTAAATATTTCCGCACTTATTATTTAATGAATTATATTAAATAATTATATTAGGTAATATATAGCGGTCTAATAATTTTAATAACTAATCATTTGCTCATGATAATTCTTTAATTTTGCGTGTTGTGAACTAACTTTCTGTATTTACCGTTGCAGAAGGCGAGAAAGAAAACATCGTTCTTCCTGTACTTCTTGGAGCTATACTGGTTTCGATTCTATTTGGGATCTTACTTTTTACGTGTGTGTTATGGAAGAAGTAAGTATACATTTCTGCAATTTGCAGGTGCCTTATACATTCTGCACCAATGTTACCTTTTGAATTAAAAAACAATTAATTTTAAGTAAAATTCATTTTAAGCAAATATTAATGTTTTAAATTACAAATCAGATGAAATCCAGGTTTAGATATGTGTTTTTTTACATATGTGTCCTATTACAAAACATGCATTCCGAAGTAAATATACGCGACTCCTTCAAATTGCATAAAATTTCTTACGCAGTTACCCCTTGTTGTAAAATTCTGAAACGTCGCAAAATTAAACAAGAAGTATTAAATTAATGCAATAAATTGACATTTTTTAATTTTCATAACATTATCTTAATCATCTTATCATTTTCAACTTTATCTTATTAACGGCTCGATAACGTTATATTAATTATTCGGATGCCTTTAAGATTTGAAAAGAATTTGATGTTTTTGTAAACACAGAGAACAAATACATCATGAACGCAAAAGTGTAATTTTTATTTCTAGAAATTACATAAATGTCGTCAAATGTCGTCTTCAATTACTAAAAGTCGTATTATTTTACGATTCTTAAGTATTCCGCAGTTAAACATCATTATTTACATTTTTAGAAGTGGATACTGAAACCCCCAAATTGCGACTTTTACAAAAAAATATTCATACGACCTTGAAGAAATTTGCTAATATTTGTATATAAATAACACAACTATTTAAAACGTTTATTACGCGAAATAATAATTGACCTGTTTAATTACACTCAAAATCTGATAACTTGAAATGGTGTTCTGAAACTTGATTTTCCTTTCTAGCTTCTAAATTGTGATAATTTTGTTGAAAAAGAAAAGTGTTGGTCCTAGTATTTACACACTACTGGGTAGTTGCCCATAGATATACTCTTCTGTATAAACGACAATTTTAAATTAAATTATTAACTCATTTTCTATTATATATTATTTATGAAATAAATTCATTCCTGCATATTTATTACATATTTATTAACTTATGTATTTATTCAGTTCTAATATAAATGCTGATGTATACTAAATGCATTTCTTTTTTTACAGTAGGAAATAAATACGAATAGTTCTCTCCTCAAATGTACTGAAAAGAAGGGGAATATTTGATTGCATCCAGTTATGCTAGTCACATTCTCATGATATGTATTATATCTGGAAGTATTCTGTAACTGAGCAACACTTTTATATTTGTTATTCTAATATTAAATAAACTTCATACACTTTTCTCTGCGAGAGTTTAACAATACATTTTTTTTTCACTTTTATCTTTTTATAACCAAAGATGAAATCTCACTTCATCATATGTTTCTAAATAATTTTATCGAAACTAGAAACCCCATTTTGCTGTAGTATGTGTAGTGTTTTGTTGAACTTTTTAGTATCCTCCTTAATAAAAATTAAATATGGATATAGTTATTCTCTTCAACTGTTTTGATTGTAGAGACTTTAGGTTATTTCGTGGCCGGAAAGATAAAATATATGCAATACCTTCGCCAGAAATTGAACCGCGGACCTCTGGTATACACGCCCAGCGTGCAGACCACCGGACTACGAAGGCATGCCAAGAAGACTGGAGAAACACCTTATATACTCCCCCTTTTAAAGAGAGACTGAGGATTTCTCTTTTTTTAATTTTAAATGGCGACTGGGAACCCAATCGCCAAATCCTGGGTGTGAAGAATCATGATCGAACACCCTCTTAGTTCATTAAAGACATTAGGTATTTTTGAAAGCTGGAAAAATGAAACATATGCATCGCTTTCGCTGGGAATCGAGACGCGGGTCTCTGAAATACGCGCCCAGGGTGCAGACACCACACCACGAAGGCTTGCCAAGAAGGCGGGAGAAACACCTTATAAGACTTTTTATCAAAACTAAATTAATGATTGACAACCTTAAACAGAATTAAATTTCAATTATATATAGTAACAGGTCAACAAGTCGCTTGCGCTTTCACTTTTATTTGTGATTCAATGGCAACAATGAAACGATATTTAATTCTTAATATTTTAATAATTCAAGGAGCGAGTTTGAGTGGCTCCACGTGTAACAGATATACAAAACAAGAACATATATTTAAGCATTATCAAACACCATTTCATCGCAATGCAATATCCAAACATGAAACATGGCTTTTTGAATTTAAGTCTTAAGAACAAAACACCGTTTCACTGTTGCCACTGAATCACAAAAAAAAAAAAAAAAAAAAAAAAAAAAAAAAAAACGGAAAGGGCACGCCGCGGCTTGTTGACTTGTTACAACGACTTGTCACGAGGCTTGATGACTTGTTTTATACATATACTTGTTTTTAATCTTTGAAATTTCAAAAACCCACGAGGATAAATGTGAAAAACATGTGTACATTTAGTTAAATGTTATGTTTCGCGATGTAATTAAGATAATTTTATCAGAAAAGAAAACTATTGATCACAGGATTTTCTCACTAGTAGTTATCTGCCCCTATAGATGTTCTCATCTGCATCAATGGCATTTTATACTTAATTATATGAATTCATAATTAATTACATAGGATTTACGGAATAAATGCATTCCTGCAACAGTTTTACTGTATTAAAGTTATGCATATCTATTAACTTATCTAATTATTCATTGCATACATAAATTCTCATGTATACTAAATGCATTTCTTCTTAAATTTATAAATAAACACAAAAAGGACCCCCTTCAAATGCATTAAAAAGAAGCGGAATAATTGATTGCATCCAGTTATGGTAGTCACATTCTCATAAATTATTCTCGAGAATTATAAGTAATTGTATTACCCAATCTGTATTAAAAATTAAAATAAAATCATGACAGACAATACCTTGGTGAAGAATAGAAACTAAATGAAACTCCACAAAATTGCTCAATTGACATCGACCCCTTTCGTAAGATATTTCAATCTGAGGTCTTAATTCGTTTGCCATATTCTTAAGCTTAACTGATAAAAAATATATTTAAGGTAAATTTCAGACGTTACAAAAGTATTCACAGTAAAACTCAGTACAGTAAGCCTCCTCACAATTACCAAATCTAGATTCTAAACTCAGGTCTATAAATATACATTGATATTAATATTTACAATATTATTCTCTAAGAGAGTATTTTTCAAACGTTTTTTATCTGGTAACCTACTTAATGTAGAGTTAAACTTCCACGGTACGGTGAATTAAAAAAGTATCTATATCTGTATTAAAAATTAAAATAAATCCCTCTCTATGTATATATGTGTGTGCGTGTATGTGTTTATGTATATATACATACATATACTTGGTGATTCTAAATTCCTTTTACAAATTAAGAGAGATGACAGTACTCATCCAGATGAGCAATAATTACCATAGAACAAAGGGTCGCATTCCACTCTGAGAGGTAGAAAAGAGGAATACTAGAATTCCAACTTACAAGAGTTACAAGAGTAAAACTTACAAGAGTGCTGGGAGAGCGAATGACCGAACTAAAAGTTGCACAATTTTTTTTCTCTAATGGCAAATTGTGAAGATGTAAATGTGAAGATGTACAAATTGTGAAGATGTACAAATGTAACCCAGTCCATTAATGTATACAAGGCCGGATGTGGTGGTCTCTTTATTATGCAGGCGCCTAATAGGTGGGCCACCATCGCCTTTCTTATGAAGGGGACGGACAGTTACAACCATGCCTTCTCCTACATTCGAACCCAGGCCCTTCAGCATCGCAGTCAGCTTCCCTGACCACCATACCGACTGGGCGGCAAGTTGCACAAATAGTTTAGTGAAAAATTCACAGAGAGCGAAAAAAACGGATAAAACCGAAAATTTGGCGTTCGAAATTTAGACTTTGACAGCAAACACTCTATTGCAAATTTTTGGTTGGCAAGGTCTCAACCTCGCAAACGATTACGACAAGTTAGTTGTAATCGTTTGCGAACACCATTTCATCGTTTGCGAACATCAAGGGCTGAAAATTAACAACTAACTTCAACTTAGCATGAAATGTTCATGCTGTATTCCGGCTGTCAGAACTTCGTATCCCATAGAAGAACGCTTCAAGTAGAATGAACGCAGCACAGCAAGTCCAGGAGGACATGATAGAACATGGCGAAAGGGAAAAAAGTCCCTTCCCCTAATTAGATGATTGTTTGCCGTCAAACTCTCAGTTCGAATTAACACTCGAACGCCAAGTTTTCCGTTTTATCCGTTTTGTGCACTCTCTGCGAGTTTTTCACTAAACTGATTGTGCAACTTTTGGTCTCGTTCATTCGCTCTCCCAGCACTGTTCTGAGTTCAGGTTGGAATTCTAATATTCTTCTTTTATGCCTCTCAGAGTAGAATGTGACGCTATGTTTTATGGTAATTATTGCTCATCTGGATGAGGACTATCACACACACACACACACACATATATATATATATATATTATATTATATTATATATATATGAGTGTGTGTGTATGTACTAATTAGCATAAACAAAATGAACCATCAAAGCAAAACAGCTAATTAGGAAATTAATATAATTTGTAATAAAGTTTTCCTACAAATGTATTTAAAGAAAATGCAACTGATTTCTGCGTCGGCGGATTTTAGCTCGTCACCAACCTTTTAACTTCATAAACAGGAGGGAAAAAAGTAGTACCTATCTTTTTCGGGTGTTCGTTTGGAGTTTTCTTTCTATGTAGGATTAATGGCTGAGGTTTCTCCGTTTCCGATTAACAATGTTGCTTAGTTTTTCACATAGAAATTTTAATACCGTGCTTTTCGCAACGTTTTAGAATGAAAAGGAGAGGGCAAAAATATATCCTTCATTCCTCAGCTTGTTTAAAAAACGGCCGTTTCAAAAAAGAATAAATTTAAAAGTACCAGATTGTATTTCTCTTTTAAAATATGACAAAATTTTCATTCCAAAACATTTGCTTCTTTATCGAAATTGTTTCTGCATCGATATATGCTAATGACTCTATAAACTGAATGAATATTGTTATCAGTAAGTTTAGTTCTTCTTAACATTTTAATAATAAAACTAAAAATTGAATGATAAATTTTATGCTGATGAGGAAGGAAAATGTGAATCGATGCATATGCTTATACAATTCAACCGTCTTTTCCTTACACTTTTGTTTTCTTTCCAGCATATATAGAGTATTCAATGTGAGCTCCTTAATAGAGTTCATTTAAACATGTTAAATATTTTCCCTTTACTTGCATTTTAAACTAATAAAACATTCTGTTTGATTTCCCCACCCCTAATTTTTGTACTTCGTGCAATTTGTACTTTTCTTGTGTTATTTAACCAAACGTATTTCAGTAGTTTCAGCAATTCAAAGGAAAATGATGCTCCTGTTTTAATTAAAATGGTAATATTTCTATAATCAGGTCAAAGAATTTTCCCGCAGTTGGAAAAAATCGCCATACAAAAAGTATACCTCAAGAAGCATCAGGCATATCATTATCAATCATCAATAATATCAGAGTTCAAACTTCAGTTATCATTGTGAAATATTTCATAATAACTCGATAGGTATACCTTAGATTAACATATCTTACTACAGGTCGCATATCTTGCGTTTGCGCTGTTAAAATAGAGTTCTGAACAGAGTTACGTATTTAAGGTTTCCCTTTATTTTTTTTATTATTATTTTCTGAGATATTACATATTTTATATTTGGGGTTTTAACAGATGCATTTAGGGCAGCACAACATCTAACATAAATACAAGTAAACGTCAAATAACACAAAGAAAAATTAAATATATAAAAATATCACATATCATAGGAAATTATTAAATTCTATTTCAATTCAAATAATAGTTTCTCAGGGAGAAATCTAATATACGTACAACTCGTTATGTTTATTGTAGTTAAGTGATCAGTTTACAGTTTATGCGAAACTGAAATCAACAAGAGGATCTAGTCTTTAGACATTTTACATTTTACTGATTCTTTACTATATTGTTTTCTTTTTACATTTTTATATTTTAATGTCAAAATTTAGTTGTATAAGAGGAAAACAAAATTACTTCTTTACCTTCATACATTTATATTTTTATTTTATACATACATTCCATTTATGAGCATTAGTCTAGCATAATTTTTATAAAACACCTCGCTATGTTTATTGTATTTAAGTGATCAGTTTAAGATTTATGTGCAACCGAAATCAACAAATGGATACAGTCTTTAGTTATTCTACATTTTACTGATTCTTTATTGTTCTAATATATTTGCAATAACACGCGAATATCCTAATTACT